GGGGTGTGGCCTCATCCGCACATGCGCACGGGACAATGGGGGACGCCAGGCGCACCACTCCCACTATCCTCAGCACCAGGGGTAAGTCATTTTCCACTAATTCCACCTATATTTATTGTATATAAATGCACTGTTTTACCATATTGTTTATGCCTGATCCTGATGAAAGTCCCTGCTGGGTCTGAAATGTTGATCTTTTTTTAATGGATGATTAATAAACTGTAAGTTTTAAACCTTCACAAATCCGAGAGTGCCGATCACTATTTGAATATATTTGAATTTTCAAGCACCAGGTTACCAATCCACTAAAGCGTGAGTGCAAGGGCTTTCTACATTTTTATATATATATATATATATATATATATATATATATATATATATATATATACACACTGTATATAGTGAACTATTCATGTAAATAGAAATAGGAGAAAGTCACTTTTAACTTCTGTTTAGAATCATACAAATGAAAATAATGATTTTTTTTTTTTTACAGTTGTATGTGAAACTGTATGTTAAACAAGGATTAGTTAGATTAAAAACAAAAGAAGGAAGGTATGTAGAAGAGGATAAAGGTCTAGCTGACTGCCTCAATGAATATTTTTGTTCAGTATTTACAGATGAAAACGAGGGAAAGGGAAAAAGGACAAATGTTATATGTGAGTTTACAGAGGAAGAGGTTCTATTTCACCTGTCAAAAGTAAAGACAAATAAGTGAATGGGACCTGATGGAATACACCCAAAGCTATTAAAAGAGCTTAGTGGTGTACTAGCAAAACCATTAACAGATTTATTTAACCAATCATTGTTAACAGGCGTAGTACTAGTAGATTGGAAGTTAGCGAATGTTCTGCCCATTTACAAGAAAGGTAATAGGGAGGAGTCGGGCAACTATAGGCCAGTAAGCCTTACTTCAGTAGTGGGGAAAGTGATGGAAACCATGTTAAAGGATAGGATTGATGAACATCTAAAAACACATGGATTTCAAGATCAGAGACAACATGGGTTTACTTCAGGGAGATCATGCCAAACTAATCTTATTGATTTTTTTGATTGGGTAACTAAAATTATAGATCAGGGTGGTGCAGTAGACATTGCTTACCTAGATTTCAGTAAGGCTTTTGACACTGTTGCACATAGAAGGCTTATCAATAAACTGCAGTCTTTAAGTTTGGATTCCAATATTGTTGAATGGGTAAGGCAGTGGCTGAGTGACAGGCAACAGAGGGTTGTAGTTAATGGAATATATTCAAAGCTTGGACTTGTCACCAGTGGGGTACCTCAGGGATCTGTACTTGGACCCATTCTCTTTAATACTTTTATTAGTGATGTTGCAGAAGGTCTTGATGGTTAGGTATGTCTTTTTGCTGATGATGTTCCAGGAGGGATAAGCCAAATGGCAAATGATTTAGGTAAACTAGAAAAATGGTCAGAATTGTGGCAACTGACATTTAATGTGGATAAGTGCAAGATAATGCATCTTGGATGTAAAAACCCAAGGGCAGAGTACAGAATATTTGATAGAGTCCTAACCTCAACATATGAGGAAGGGGATTTAGGGGTGATTATTTCTGATGACTTAAAGGTAGGCAGATAATGTAATAGAGCATCAGGAAATCCTAGCAGAATGCTTGGTTGTATAGGGAGAGGTAATAGCAGTAGAAAAAGGGAAGAGCTCATGCCATTGTACAGAACACTGGTGAGACCTCACTTGGAGTATTGTACACAGTACTGGAGACCGTATCTTCAGAAGGATATTGATACCTTAGAGAGGGTTCAGAGAAGGGCTACTAAACTGGTTCATTGATTACTGGATAAAACTTACCAGGAAAGGTTAAAGGATCTTAACATGTATAGCTTGGAGGAAAGACGAGACAGGGGGGATATGATAGAAACATTTAAATATATAAGGGGAATCAACACAGTAAAGGAGGAGACTATATTTAAAAGAAGAAAAACTACCACAACAAGAGGACATAGTCTTAAATTAGAGGGACAAAGGTTTAACAATAATATCAGGAAGTATTACTTTACTGAGAGGGTAGTGGATGCATGGAATAGCCTTCCAGCTGAAGTGGTAGAGGTTAACACAGTAAAGGAGTTTAAGCATGCGTGGGATAGGCATAAGGCTATCCTAACTATAAGATAAGGCTAGGGACTAATTAAAGTATTTAGAAAATTAGGCAGACTAGATGGGCCGAATGGTTCTTATCTGCCGTCACATTCTATGTTTCTATGTTTCTATGTTTAAGTACAAATTTCACCCACGTTCCCCATTAATGGCCCTACGAGCAATATCACCCTGGCTCACACTCAACTCCTAGGTTAAACTGGAAATATACACGCTTGACCAGCTTATGCACCTCAATCGCATCAAGCTGTTCCCAGACCTGTACTGCCCCTGAAGACTCAAGCTCAACCCAAATCCCTCTCTCTATGTTACCACACTAATTTCCAGACAACACCACCACAGCCCCCGGCATTCATAGCCCAATGGCTCACAGAGTGCGACCTGCTCACGTCCAATACCGAAGAATTGTCATCCCTTACCGCCCTCAAGGGTCTTACGCACTGCTACTCCCACGTTGAGGCCCACAAGAAGTTAATTTACAGGTGGTACCTAACACCCCACAAACTCTACAAGATGTACGAGGTAGTCTCACCATATTGCTGGAGATGCGGGGTTGACAGTGGCACAATGACTCATATTTGGTGGGCTTGCCCACGTGTACGTCCATTATGGGAAGAGGCGTAGAACACCTTACAGGCCATTGACTTTACTGAACCATCTCTCGACATACACACTGGGTTATTCCTCACTTACCCTCAGCCAACACCGGTTTCCACAAAACGTATAATGGCAATAATTGCATTGGCTGCGAGAAACCTAATTGCGAGCCAGTGGAAGCAATCACAATGCCCTTCCAAACACCAACTACTATCCAAAATTCAACAATGCTACAAATATGAACGCATGTCCACTAAGACCGCTGCACAAAGTGAACACTTCAGGGCTTCTTGGACACCATGGGTATACTATTGGGACACACAGAACTCTCTCACACACCCGGGGTAAATCTGCCACAAGAATTCTAGGGGTATACCTCAATATACCATGCGGAGCACCTAAGGCTAGGTGGCCCAACTTAGACTATCACCCACTAAATGTAAACCCATCTCTGTGTCTTGACAGACCCTGTTTCACTATTTTAGAACATGTAACAGTCATTTTCTCTCACCATCCTTGGCCCCCGTACGAGTACCAGATCCACCCAAACACATTGCTAACCCCAACCTTTTTTTCTAACTGAAAAGACAGTTTTAGCTCATTGATCCACTATGCAGGAGACATATCTCTGGACAATTGATCTTGCATACTCTAGGAGGCACTAGCAAGACACTGAGCTCTGGTAAGGGTGTACAAAGGGAAAAGGTAGAAAGTGAAACTGTCTTGTTAGTATCACAAACTATCTTGAAAATATCACCGAGAATTTTCCATACATAGTTACATAGCTGAAAAGAGACTTGCGTTGATCAAGTTCAGCCTTCCTCACATATGTTTTTGCTGTTGATCCAAAAGAAGGCAAAAAAACCTAGTCTGAAGCACTTCCAGTTTTGTAACAAACTAGGAAAAAAATCCTTCTTGACCCCAAAATAGCAGTCAGATGTCTCCTTGGATCAAGCAGCTATTACCCCACTAATTAGAAATTATATCCCTGTATGTTATGTTTTTGTATTTATCCAATTGCAGTTTAAACATCTGTAATGACTCTGACAAACCACCTCTTCAGGTAGAGAATTCCATATCCTTATTGCTCTTACTGAAAAAAAAACTTTTCTTAGATGAAATCTCCTTTCTTCCAGCCTAAATGTGTGACCTCGTGTCCTATGTATAGCCCTGTTTATGAATAGATTTCCAGATAAAGATTTGTACTGGCCCCGAATATCTTTGTATAATGTTATCATAACTCCTCTCAGGCGCCGTTTTTCCAAACTAAACAGATTCACATTTTTTAACCTTTCGTAACTAAAATGCTCCATTCCTTTTATCAATTTTGTAGCTCGTCTCTGCACTTTTTCTAGTGCCATGATATCTTTCTTTAGAACAGGTGCCCAAAATTGCACAGCATATTCAAGGTGTGGTCTTATCAGCGATTTATAAAGAGGCAAAATTATATTTTCATCCCGAGAATTTATGCCCCTATTTATACATGACAAAACCTTACTGGCCGTAGCAACTGCAGATTGACATTGCATATTGCTGCCTAATTTGTTGTCTATAACAATTACCAAATCCTTCTCATGTGTGGTTATCCCTAGTTCACTTCCATTTAGGGTGTAAATTGCTTGTGCATTCTTAACCCCGAAGTGCATAACTTTGCATTTCTCTATGTTAAATACCTACTCTTAAACGTACTCATATTGAGCGCACATGGAGATTCCCCCAAGGGCTGCTGTTTTGCTCCCACATAGAAATGTACCCAAAAGAACATTGACTTCGATACCATATACCTCAAGAATTATGTTGTCATGTTATGCAATGTGCCTGTAGATGCGAATATCCATTTTGCTCTATATCCTAACTGTTCATGTAAGGGTTAATTTGAATCAAGAATAAATTTGGAATTGTATCTCATGTCACAATGACTTATCCAATTCTCAGAAATGTTATTGAAACATGATTTTGTTATGTTCCTGGAAAAAAGATATTTGCATGACATGACATGACATGACATGGCATGACACGACACATGACATGACATGATAAGGATTCTGGAATGACCTTGTTAATTGTCCAAGATTTCTGTATTTGTAATCATCTGGGTTTTATCCAATATGCATACATTATGTAACATCGAATTATAACTAAAAACAGCTGTTTATAACTTGTGAAAAACAATGTCATTGTCACGCCATATGGTCATTTTTCCCCCTCCCATCCTGCTATGAAAATGGGTTATAAATATAACTGACGTATGAATACAATTTGAATTGGTTATTGAACACGTCTCTGCTATTCATTTCCAATTTCCAGAGCTCTGTATGAGTTGGCAAATATCCATCATCCACAAAGGGCCCAGGCTGATTTTATCCCCAACAAACTGGTGTCAGAAGTTTGGGTGCAATTAGGAACGGAGTTGCAGGTAAGGGGGTCTTTAGCCCCTTGGGGACACAACTTCTGGAATTTAAGGGAATCATGACGGAGTATTTCTGTCGTGTGTCCTTAAGGGGTTGGGGACCTTTGCCTGCTTCTGCCATCCTCCCACACATTGCATTTCTTGTTTTAATGGGGTTTTTCACTATTTACATTTTTAAAGGGGATTTTCACAGGATAATGTCTTTGGTAGACATGGTATTTTGTTAAGTCTTAGGTAGACTTCTATTACTCCACGGGTTGGAGGATTGCCTTTGGTAGGTAGTAGCAGTTATGTGCACATTTCCTCTTTGGTAAGAGGTTCACCTTTGGCCAGGTGTTAAAAATAATTTCAAGCCTTTGGTAGGCTGTGATGTACCTGTGATGTACATTTACATATGGGAGACGTCCCTAGATCCCTCTTTGGTAGAGGTTTCCTTTGGTAGGTTGTAAAACAGATTTCCAGTCTTTGGCAGACTGAAATGGTTTAAAAAAATAAAATAAAAAATGGGGGGTTAAAAGGTATGATGGATGTTTGGCATTACTCCGGCTTGCTAATTTATGTTTTATTTTATGATGTGCAATATGCTTAAAATCAGCGTAACCCCCTACTGTACCCCACCCCATTTCTCTTCTCTGTACCCTCTCCCCACCTGCATTTGAAAAACCTCAATAAAACATTGAATGGAAAAAACAAAGCTTCTGTCGTTTATTTTCTCAGTATGTTTTTTTATATATTAAAAAGTAAGTGCTTACATGCAAATACTCATGGAACAGTAGTAGGGAGGGAGTGAAAGGGTGAAGGGGGTACAGATAAGACATAGGGATGAACATCATGTACATATAACAGATAAGTTCCAGGAAAGAGAAGGAACAGAGTGATTTAGGAGAGATAGCTCAGGTGGGGGCTATCTGCTCCCGGAACTAGACATATATGGTCTTAAGTGTCGTTTTAAGCATTAAGCATTTCCTGAGTCCAAGTTAGCCAATTTTAATATAGGATATCTAATATGACACATATAAGCTTGAACCTTGGAATCAAAGTAAATTCTTTCACAATCCCCTCTTTTGAGATTCAAAGGTCACCCAAATGTCCAAGGTATTTCCAGGCCTGCTAGCCAAAGCCTGTGGGACTTTCATTTATTGCTTCACCATGGTTCCCTTGGACTGAGAGACCACCAGAATCAGCTGAGGAGGGTTCCTCATTTTGTTAAGCGTGGTAACATCGTAAAAACCTTCTGAAGTCGGAGCTGGAAGGTAAGTTAAGGTACGACCAACAGTATATATTTTTTTTAGGGGGGAGCCGTGTAACAGATCCATCTGTATAACCTGGGATTGCTGGTTCATCTGTTTTGCCTTTTCGTGGAATTACTCATTCGTATGCCTCTGTGCGTATAATTGACGTTTTTTGCCGAACAAAACTACTGAATGGACGGCCACCCAGAAGAGAAGTGTGCTGCTGGTTAACCTCTTGATCCCAATTAGAACGTTGTGGTTAACCGCAGACACTTCTCAATTAAAACTGAACACAGGGTGGTCGTCGTTCGTATGTCGACCACGAGGCGGCTGCCATTTTAAACCATGCGAAAGACCAGCGGTGTTCGGCATTGATTTCATGGAACTGAAAACGGACACTTTTTCTGCCGAACACCGCTGAAGTCGCCGACCTCCCTTCTCAATCGACAGAAGTACACTAACACCGGCCGTTCGGGAGTTTTAAACGCACGAATGGACTTAACCCAGATAGCCTTCCCATGGAGTCAATCGCATACCGAAAGACTGTAATAGACTTTGACTCCATGGCGATTGAACTATACGTATGGGATCTGAGCGATATTCGCCAATAATATGCACTCAGATCCAGGCTATCTGAGTATGCTATGTTCGGCAATTATAAAGTTATGTATTTTTATGTGTTTTTTTGTGTTGAATTTAAAATGGCGATTTGCCTCTGTCCTGGAGATAATTGAATTACTTCTCAGTTATCTTCAGGGCAGAGGGGAGGAAATCATAATGCATGCTGGGAATATTCTGTGTCTGTGGGTCCTAACCTGCCATATGTCTGTCTATTGTTACAGTCTCCCATTTGGTCCCCTAGTGGAGTGTCCACCAAGTGGGAGACCTGCATAAATACGGGCAGGTAGCCCACAGTAAAGCCAGTTCATGTTTTACCCTCAATGCGGAGCTTGGTCTCGTTATTGGGGGGATTTATTACCAACAACTAGAGACTGCCGGATGGGATTATTAGCCGCTTGGGAGATATATGCGTTTGACTACTATTGTCGATTTGTGAGTTTGGATCTCGTGAAGTGAAGTGCCCGTACAAGTCCCGTTCGTGGGATTACAGCGTTCCCCTGCTTGCGGTTCGTATGATTGTACTTGATACGAATGAAGCCTGTGTTATTGCGAGAGGGGAGGATTCACTAAACGGCAGTTTGTACATTTGATGCTGAGGGTACCGTAACAGGTGCCTATAGTGGTCCTTTAAGATCTGCACTAAACCAATGCTTTCCTGTAGGAAAGCATTTGGAGGATATTGCACATGCAGAGCGTGGGGACGCTAAACAAAGGTGCTGCACACTATGCAGCAATGACACAGGACTCTCTAGTGGCGTCTGAGTGACTGTAACTAGAGGTGTTACTAGGCAGCAATGTAAACACTGCCTTTTCCCTGAAAAGGCAGTGTTTACATTGAAAAGGCTACAGGGACCAGAACAACTACATTAAGCTGTAGTGGTTCTGGTGACTATAGTGTCCCATTAAGAATTGTATATTTCTCGTAAATTAAATTTCACTAGTTTAAAAAAAAAATGGCTCCTAACTTTTTTAGCTGGCTCCTAGATTCCAAACAAATTTGTCAAGCCCTGTGTTTGGCCATTGATCTTGCTTTCCTGTGGGGAATAATACAGAATTAATTTTAATAAACAACTCAAATGATGTGCATTGTCCTATGTGTTACAATATCATCAGTATTGTAAGTAGATTGCTGTAACTCTTGCTGCATTCTATAAATTTATATAGTTTACTACATAACATCTGTGGGATCTTGGATAATATTAAACATTTGTATTTCACGTTTTTGTGTGCATTTTTTTCACTATAATCAAAATAAATATAACAAAATTATAGAACCACTTTCCTTGTAATAAGACCAGATGTTTTGTGTTTGCCCATTTTTTCCAAGATATATATAGTTTTCATATTCCTTAAAAGGGCAGAAAATACATTTTAATATATCTTAATGAGCTAAAACAACCTAATAATAGCTATTTACTTTCGCTATTATATATTGAGAAAATCTGAAAGTAGAGTGATGCCTTTTTAGTGATTTGATTTGCATAATTACACATCTTAATGTGACAAACACAATATCATTTTTGCTAAGATTTAGGAGTCCAATATATCTGTACATATTTATTGCCTATATTATTTGCAACAAGACAATAGTGCATTGATTTGTTTTCTTTCTTTCTTATCATTGGTATACAGTGTTAAGCTGTGTTTATGCAGATAGATATTGCATGCGATTATACACTTTTAAATAAAAAAACACCATGTAACCTTTTTTTTTTTCTGAGCCTGTATGGTTATCATTCTGAAATGGACCATCAGTGACATTAAAGTCAATATTATCACTCTGAGATCATTAGTATTGAAAGGTATACCGTCATGCTAAATGATGTATGACCCCATATCAAATGTGCTTGTCTATCGTGGTTATTCACTGAGAACGTTAGGGGATTCAAAGTGAATCCAAAGTCCATTTTACATTTAAAGCCACAATTGCTAAACTGAAAAAAGAAATGATCTCAGCTCACCTGTTGTAACCTTAAATTTGAAATTATTTTTTAATTCACTGTGAATTCTGTGTATGTGTCAATATTACTGTATTTTATTTCATCAGATAGGATCCTGTAATGATTTCACCTCCTGCAATCTTTGTCCAGCCTGAGCCCAACAATATTTTGACCTTGTACAGTAAGATTTTCTTGTAGGATGGCTTTTTGTTTACATTTTCTTGTAGCCTGAAGCAGACTTTCAGTGCAATTAGAAGTCATTACATTTAACTATATCCTGTTATGCTTAGTTAGTAAAAAGAAAGTCTAAGCCCCTTTCCTATTATTTCCCAAGAGATATGGGCAAACAGCTGCAGAACCGAACGTGAAGCTGTCTTTAATATAGAATATTGATTTTTTTCTAAACAGAAAAAACTGCTCATCTGTAGTCACCACTGAGTTTCAAAGAATATATCATTTGATTGTGATCTAAAGTACCAACTAACTTAAATAAACAGGGTATTTTCCAAAAGTGAGAATTGTCATGGATTAAAAGTAAATTCACAGATAGTTTCAAATTTAAGGTCAATATAACCAAACTGTAAAAAGTCAGTGATGCTTCTAGTTTGGCTGCCTATTAACATATATTAAATTAATTTCTGACCATTTTTGTTTTAGTAAATAAATAGCCTTGTCAGTGTCAAAATCCTACATTAAAGGAACATTATACTGATAGGAATACAAACATGTATTCTTAACACCATAGTGCTGGAGTGGCTGTTTAGGTCACCCGCCCCCAACAGATTGCAGTGAAAAGGTATATATACTTACCTTTCCTACCTTGCCACACAGGTTGGGAGGCTAGTGCACATTCGTGGCAAAAGGCCATAGTGCGGCAAACAGCATTTACTCATAGAGGTGCATTGATTCAATGCATCTCAATGGGCAGCGTTCAGTGTCGGCATGCAGAGCGTGGAAACTTTGAATCTAGGTGCTGTCAACATTGAAGTTGCTGTTTAGTGGATAAATGAGTGGATATATATATTTGGGAGTCTAGCCAACTCCTTGGTTTGCACCCCTCCCTGTCCAGGGCCAGTGCAAGGATTTTTGCCGCCCGAGGCAAAAAAAATAAATTTGACGCCCCCCGTGTGACATCACAATGCCCCACCCATATGATCTGCCACATGAACTAATGCCAGTGCTGCACACAGTGCAGGGACAGGCTATAGACACCAGAACCAGTTCACTAAGCTGCAGTGGTTCTGGGGACTATAGTGTCCCTTTAATGTGAGGTAAATTAGAGATTAGTGTCACTAATAATATACTAGATTGCCTACTTACAACCAGATAAGGATGGCTCCACTGGTCTGGTGTAGAACAGGATTTCTGGAGGCTGTTTGTAACTGTGGTCACAAAATTCAAAGTTCTGGGAGAACAGGAAGCAGCTCCATTTTTTTGGGGACCCTTACACAGCTCAAGGTCAGGGCCTCAGAACCTGACAGTGAGTATGCCCATAAGGCCCACCCATAAGTACACCTATATGTTCCACCCACGAGTTCGCTCACAGGGAGTGGAGTGTGTAGGGGATGTGTTATGTGTTATTGTAGAGGATCTAATGTGTGTGCTTATGGTATGTAGTGTATAGGGATACCAGTTTGTGTAGGTGATGCAGTATGTTTATGTGCAGTGGAAGCAGTGTATTTTTTTTTTAAGGGATGCATTGTGTGAATCTGTGTTTGTATGCATAAGGGATTCAAGGTGTGTTTTTGTGTATGTAAGAGATGCAGTGTGTGTGTGTGTGTGTGTAGAGATGCATTGTGTGTGTGCGCACGTGTAGTGTGAAAGAGCTCCCTGTCTCGACCCTGTCCTATAGAGCTCTCCCTTCCTTACTAAACCTCCCTCCCTTCCTCTCCCTGTGTTCTCCTTACTCCCCCCTCTCCCTGTGTTCTCCTTACTCCCCCATGTTCTCCTTACTCCCCTGTTTGATCTCCTTACTCCCCCCCAGTTTGATCTCCTTACTCCCCCCCAGTTTGATCTCCTTACTCCCCCTCAGTTTGTTCTCTTTACTCCCCCCCAGTTTGTTCTCCTTACACCCCCCTGTTCTCCTTACACCCCCTGTTTTCTCCTTACACTCCCTCCCTCTGTTCTCCCTCCCCGTTTGATCTCCTTACACCCCTGTTCTCCTTACACCCCTGTTTTCTCCTCACACCCTTCCCTGTTTTCTTCCCCCCGTTTGATCTCCTTCCTCCCCCTCCTGTTTTCTCCTTACAACCCCCCTATTGTCCCTCCCTCCTGTTTGTTCTCCTCACCTCCCCTCCCCTTCCCTGTAGTGTGGTCCACTAACAGGAAGTGCACTTCCTGTCAGTCCGGCCGGGACCGTGGACCGAAGAGGAGCTCGGCCACGCTATAGGGAAGGGGAGGTGAGGAGAGAGGCAGTGCTGCAGCCGCCTGAGGCTCTTTACAGAGCGCTCAGGCGGCTGCAGCATTTAAAGGGCTGTTGATGGGGGCGCAGGGCACCCCCTCCTATATGGTTCCCTAGGCGGCTGCCTAGTTCGCCTTATAGGAAGCGCCGTCCCTGTCACAGGTGCCTCATCTCAGGGCCCTATTTATCCTTGTACTGCAGAGAGCCCCAGATGGAATTTTTTCCCCAAGTAAGTGGTTAATCTCATAAAAGCAGACATTATGCTATTAGAGTAAGACCTGCCAAAGATGTGGTACATTGACGTTGTGGCAGGCTTATGCAATGTATGATCATATAATGTAACTAAACCCCCATTAATTTTGCCTAGATTAGGTGTTTTTTTAAAAAAACTAATAAACTCTGTCAACACTGAAGTTGCTGTTTAGTGGAGTACACTGGATCTTGTATGTTACACATATATATTTCAGTATACTGGTTTTGTACTGATTCTCCTGCCATTTGGTTCACAGATGAAGTGGGAGAGGATAACCAATAGAGGGAAAGATAGGAGGAGCAGTTAGATATTTAGATTTTTTTTTTTTTACAGCTCCTTATTTTTTACCCCTCTGTTGGTCACTTCAAAACTTAATCTGTAAATAAAATCAACAGTTAATGACTGTCCCCCACCCATTAATCATATTTTTCCCGTCAATCTTTTATTTAAAAAAATTTTTTTTTATGAAACTGGCAGAATGGCTCGAAGCTCTGGAATTCAACTTATCACCTGCAAGACCCATAGTCGGACAAACTGAAATTCAGAACAAAATTAATTTCAAAGTCTAATATAATACACTTTGCTCTATCGTGTATCGTGAATGAGGCTTCCTGGACACCCAGAATCCAAAGTTGAAAGATGACTAGGGCAGAGATTACACTCTTCCTCAGCCATTCTAATTAGTACCAATAATGGACACTTTGGATTCAAAGTGGTAGGCTCACACTCTAAGTCAGTGGTTTCCAAACCAGTCCTCAAGGCACA